CATGTGATGGAGCATCACTAACCTGACTCAGATGGTTTGTTTCACCAAACCATCTAGGAAAGCTCCATTGGAAGCCATTTGGAAAGGGCAGGCACTTTCAAAAATACTTGGCAGGTGATTGGATCAATCTGTCTATCACCTTCTATCATGGGCCACTTCTGATTGGTTAACAATGACTGGTACATGTGGAGCACAGTACTTCTGATTGGTTAACAATGACTGATACATGTGGAGCACAGCACTTCTGATTGGTGTGGAGGACTGACACACAAGAATAAAAAAATAAAAAAGATTTGATAATTGCATCATTTAAAATCGCGATTTCGATTTAAAATCGATTAATCGTTCAGCCCTAATGTATAGAGCACAGTAGTTTTAATATTATCATTACTTGTCTTTCCAACTCTTTTTTATACGTGCACCATACACACTCTGACACGATGACAGCAAGAAACTTCCCAAAACAGTAGTGAAAACAAAAAGTCACCCTCACTTTGGCTTATATTGATTTTGTCCTGTTGTGCGATGCTTTGATATGAGGGCTCAACAAAAATGTAATCTGTCATATAAATCCAACTCAATAAAGCAGATGTAATACAGGAGATTAATTATATCAACTGGAGTGTGTATTCGCCCAGGCTGCTTGATATCACCACAGGTTATTTATCGTAAATCATGCTGATTTTAATAGACTTTTCAAACAGAAATAAGGAAAATGTGTCGGTAATCGCATCTTTAGCGCAGCCTAATTATATCACTGAAGTTCTTTAGGGAGTAATTGTTGTCAAACATTGTATCAAAGCTTTCATAATCCGTTATGACATCAATCGATCAATACTGGCAGAATGAATTCTCGTATATGATTGTTTGTGCGTGAGGGGTCGAGAACATATGTTTCACTGCCTCACTTTGTGGTGTATGGACATTTTCTGTATAACATGATGAGTGTTAATGATTACTAACCTGTCTGTATTTTCTTGTGTACACGTCTTTTGTGTGTTTTCCCGCTGTGTTCATGGGACAGCAGGGGCGGGAGGATAAGCGCTTGGTGAGAAGGATTACCTATATCTGTTAGGCCTCCTTTTGTTTCCCCCGGGCAGTGTCACGTCTCATTACTTCTGTACTCCAGCCTGGCTTTAGCAGGATACATTTAAAACGCAGGCAGCCTGGCCGTCCAAGAACACCAGGTTTAGACGCAGAGTGATATGTGCGCGCTTTGCCTGAGAGGCTTTCTTCATTAAGCAGGCAGGTTAACTTCTTCCAAAGCTGCCATTGATGGCAATTAAGTTAAGGCTCATCGTCTGGTTACAATATCTCGCTTTCAAAGATGTCTTTGAGCTCACTTCACGTAATGAACATGTGACGACGAAGGGGAGGCTATACAGCAAGAAAGCAAGGTGTACTAGAGGACATTTATTAATAGGACTGCAACTAACATTTATTTCATTATTGATTCATCTGCCATTTTTTTCCTAGAATGATTGATTAATCATGGTGAAGCAGCGTTCAGTTGTTATGCTCAAAATATCTGGAACAAACTCTCAGAAACCTGCAGGTCCGCTGCAACTCTTACTGCTTTTAACTCCAGGCTGAAGACTTTTATTTTGGCGCTGCTTTTAATTGAGCTATTCATATCTTACATTGCACTGTAACTTTTAATCATGTATTTTTTCTTTTAATGTTTATTTTACTTTGCTTTTTAATGACTGTTTTTAAATGCCATTTTCTTAATGTCTTTTTGTAGAGCACTTTGAATGACCTTGTGTTGAAAGGTGCTGGTTAGGGTTGGGGTTAGGGTTTGGTTAGGCAACAAACTTGGTCAGTTGTAAAATATTAGAAGTAGTGAAGTATGTCCATCCAAGTTGCAGTTAAATTCCAAGGCCATTACTTAATTATCAAAGTAGTTGCCACTTATGTTTCTGTCGATCAACTAATTCATTAGTCGATTAATTGTAGCAGCTTTTTTAGACAGAAGCATTGCCACAACAATAGAGCTAGAAAAAAATCTGATATGAATTCGATTTTTTTTGTAATTGTCCATGTTAAAATGCCGAACGTGAAAAGGTTCCAGCATCTCAAATGTGAGGTTTTGCTGCTTGTCTCTATTTAATATCATTATAAATTCAAAATCAGATAATAAGATAAAACAAGATATTTAGGAATGTCACACAAGGCTCACATTGCAGTTCTAACTACTTTATAGTGATTGTATTTATAGGAAAAGCACAGACAAGATGAAGGCTTTAGTACATTTGTAATATGCCTGGTTTGGGACACTAGGGGATAATTGAATGATTAAGATAACTCCTGGAATGTACAAAATAATAATGGGAATGTTTCAATACATTATAGTTTGATAAGTTGATCATAACCATGCCAACCTGTCCTGACAAGTCAAAAAGTGTCTTAAACAAACCTCACATTTGTTTCAACCTGCCAGGAAACAGCAGTAACGTGTTGAATTCAGCGCACTATTGTCTAAATCTACCCAAATACCCAATTATGTAAGTGTCATCTATTTGTAAGTCAGTTCGTACTCTTATATACTACATCCTAAATCCCCTTTGAAACACTCCAGTTAACAAACATTCATTCAGTAGTTGTTAAGATCTCTTCAACCATTCCTCTAAAAACATTTGGCCTAATCACTTGCAAATCCTTCCAGTCAAGTGGCTCATTAGAAGAAACCAGTTAAGCTGAATGGCATAAACATCCTCCATAGACCTTTTCTATTCAAACTGCTGTTAAACATGCTACAGTGGACAAACAGCCCACTCGTTCGGAACCCAGTTCATTTTGCGAATTCCTTTCATCCGCATGGGTCATTGACTCCTTCTTCCTCACCCGTGCGCTGACCCAGAAGGGCCTACAACGCCTGCATGTTGACCCCTTGCTCTCGTTGCCCTCACCCTCCCTCTCGAGGAACCTCCTTCCCCCCCCGTGCCGCCCGCTCATCTCGCCCTCCAGCTGGTTCCCTGCACTGTCCAGAAGCCGTGGAGCTCTCCCAGCTAATCTAGATTGCGGGAGGCCTCCCTCCTGCCAGCCAACACAAGAGAAGACAGCCCTAATTGCTTATGTCGTAAAGCTCTCTGACCCAGATAAGCCTGCACTCCCCAAAGCTGTCGATATAACCCCACTTTACCTCACCAAACCTGCCTCTCCTGATCCACACAAGCCGCTCCCCCCTTACATTTCTGCACCTTCTGCCACATTATTAACACCAAGGACAGGGGGATGACGATGGGGAGATGGACATGAACATCGTGGGTTGGCCAAACATGAGTAGTCATTTAAAAATAGTTTTTTAAAGATTTGCATGAAAACAACTTATTTTTGAATAAATCTGGTAGAGCTGGGCAATATGAACAAATATTATATACAACAACTTTTTTTACCACAGCATAACGATATCTAAGAGCATTCAGAAAATATTTACACAATGAGAATTATGATAAACAATCAGTAATGTGAATTTAAGGACTAAGCAGGTAAAATAAATAAAAGGGCAAGTCTGAAAGAGTCTACTACATAACTTTTAGTAATGCTGCCTTTAAAACCAGGAAAAGACAACACTTTGGATATTAGGATCCCCAAAATCTAAGAGGATATCTAGTGTCATATCCTGATATTATTGAAATATTGATCGGTTCTCAAACCAAATATAGGATTATTTAAATGCAGTAATAATCTGCCCGGAAAATGTATAAAATATTAGTCGGTACGTTGGAGTAAGAGCACATGTCCAAAGAGAAAGGCGTGATTACTTGAACCAAAAATGAAAAGTACCATATATAGAAAGAAATGAAACAACCTTTTGTATTGCTGCCTTTAAAACCAGGAAAAGATAACACGTACAAATTAGGATCTCCAAAATATAAATGTCTAGTATCATATCCTGATTGGTATAGATATATTGCCCCGTCTGTCAAACCAAATGTAGGATGAATATTCTTCCCCATAAATATATAAAATACAAATCACTACATTGGAGTAAGAGCACATGTCGGAAGAGAAAGGCGTGATTACTTATTGACCCAAAAGTGAAAAGTATCAGATATTTAGAAACGACGCAAAGGTGTATGTTGTTTATGTTTGTGCTCAATATAAGCCCATCTAAAGCATGGAGTTGCATGTGAATGGAGGCCGCATGCCTGGCTCATGATTTAGCCCGGTAATGCAGGATTAGCCACAAAACACCACAGAGCCTCGGACGGTTGTCAAGCGCCGAATGTCACACGTGCTCTACTTTACCAACAGATGGCTTTACCACTGATCGACACTTCGGGCGACTTTTAAGCTCCGCCACCACAGATATTTAGATATTATTTATCTTCTATGCTCACTTTCTAATAAGGAGATATAAATGCGATATAATGAAAAAACTTCCAGAAATATTACTCTAGCAGTTTTGCCCTTTGGGTCGCATTACAGAATATCAACTTCTTACTGAGAAGTCCTTAAAGTCCACTTTAAAACAGATCCTAATTACTAAATAGGAGCTTTTAATTGGATGCAACCCTGACTCGCCCTGTAATCACCCATCACATGCTATTGGTGCAGGGATGCGTTTAAACCCCCCATCTTAAGCCATGTTACACCACAGGTTAATGTCAACTGTGCCAAGTACTAGCTGAACGATACACCTACTGATATCTTGTAGTTTTTCTCGCTGTGACAAAACTACAAAACCCTACACAATTTCAGACAGTTGAAATCAGTGACATCTGCTGTATTGTGTTTGTAAGTTTCATATTTCTTGACATACTTTATTTCTCGGTCTGTCCCCTCTTACGCTACTACAACGGTTATTTAAGTGATACTTCCTGAAACACTGTTGACATGACTTGTCACTCCAAATCCCTCCAGTGAAGTGAATTGATTGGATTTGCGCATTTCCAAGTGCTCAAAGAGCTTTCCGCTCACTAAGGAAGTTGTTCATAAGTTGTAGACTGCATCTTGTATAATATTTAAAAGCAAAATCAGTGACAGTTACAAACAAATCAGGCATTATATTTTGTTTTATCACCAAATAAAACGCAGTTTCCACATCACATCATCACAAATAATGTTCAAATTGATACAAAACTAAATTCTAAATGAATTTCTAAAACAAAAATGTTCCATGCCCAACATCATTTTTCACACCAAACACAAACTTGTGCTACAGTTTTCCTGCTGGGGTTTATTTTAAGTCCAGTTGAAGGAAAACATTTTACAATAAATATATCATAAACACTGCAAATGTGGAAGGAAAACATATTTAAATCTCTGTTAAAATCAACAATAACAACGTAACACTTAAAAGTAACCAAACGGCAATGGATACGCATACTTTCCAGGTATTTTGTTTGTATGAAAATAGTGGTGGTCAAAGTACTGTGCCAGTATGTTTCAGAATAATACGAGAGATTAAGATCAATAACTTTAGACTGCTTTTGTTTGAGGTTTACATTTTGATTGTGCAGTATTTGTATCCATGCTACATTTCTACCTGAGTCCACTGGCCCCATCATATACTTCAAGAGAAAGAAACCCAACTCTAGATAATCTAAGCGACTACCAGCGTCAAATCCTCGTTTTCCACAGTGTTGGCAAAATCATAGTCATACAATGTTCTGTGTAAAGTTTCCCAGTGTTTGTTTACCCGGACAGTTTGTGGCAAGAAAAAGCACTGACATGATATGAGAACATCAAAATGTGCAGATAGTTGAAACACAGAGTAAATGTACATCCTCTGGTATTGCGTAATCCCTGCTGCACACTAATATATACGGTATGCTGCAATACTGCATTTAACACTAGTGTCTGTTGCCCTCTGGTGGTCTGACCACATCGATTGGCACAACATTTGAAGGAAACAAACTATTTAAACTTGATATAAAGTGATGCATTTGTTAAAAAAACTGGGTTTGTAGTTTACCTCATAATCAGATTGCGATGCCATTTTGTTTCAATTCATTATTAGTACTCAATAGCCGAAAATATCTTAGAAAAAAGATATTCTTGACCCTTTGCCCGTATTCAAAGTCCAATGGATTTTTTTTGTTGCTATAGTATATCTGCGTTATGTTACAGTACATAACCTGAGGTTAGGACTTTTGTTTCTTAGGATATCTCTAAGTATATGTAGAGATTTTCTTTGTATCTGGACAAGCTCAAACATTTTGTAAAATAGAAAGCGTACCTCTAATTATTATACATTTTGGATTTTGATTCCAAAAAGTTGCTTGCCAGTTTTTCAGTCTTGATTGATCACTTCTTTCTTTCTGTCCCAACCAGCAGAAATGTTTTACTTGATATAAATCCAAGAGTTGCCGTCAGAATTTAAAAGAAAAACTGGTTCATTTTAGAAGAACAACGTACGACGTCCATTTCAGCAGGAGACAGATTTCATTAGAGAAGCAGGATCAGCAGCGTCGGTTGGAGGATGGGTATTTTGTTTTCAGGCCCTCTTTGAAGCTGCGAAACAGAACCCGGTTGCGTTTGTTCTCCTCGTCCTTCTTGGCGTGAAACTCCCCCTGGATCTTGAATCCCCGGTGCACCAAGAAAGCTGAGCTCAGCACCGAGAACTTGTATCCAGCGATGTGGAGCTCGCAGGCCTGAGGGGGGAGACAGAAAGACAGGGTGAGCAGCAGACAGACATGGAGGTGTGAAGATGTGAAAGGAAAAAGAGAGGAGACAAGAGGACAGGGAAGGTGAGAAGAAAGATAACGGCAAGGACAGACAAGGAAACAAGAAAGAAGAGCTGAAATATGGAAATACACTGAACAAAAATATAAACGCAACACTTTTGTTTTTGCTCCCATTTTTCATGAGATGAACTCAAAGATCTAAAACATTTTCTATATACACAAAATAATCATTTCTCTCAAATATTGTTCACAAATCTGAAAAAATCTGTGATAGTGAGCACTTCTCCTTTGCCGAGATAATCCATCCCACCTCACAGGTGTGGCATATCAAGATGCTGATTAGACAGCATGATTATTGCACAGGTGTGCCTTAGGCTGGCCACAATAAAAGGCCACTCTGAAACGTGCAGTTTTGCTTTATTGGGGGGGTCTGGGGGGGTCCGAAAACCAGTCGGTATCTGGTGTGAGGGGTAGGGTTAGGGTTAGGGTAATGTTGTGAATCGAGTGGCCTGTGTTCGTCGTCCATAACATACGCCTGCCCATACCATAACCCCACCACCACCATGGGCCACTCGATTCACAACATTACCCTAACCCTAACCCTAACCCTAATCCTACCCCTCACACCAGATACTGACTGGTTTTTGGACCCCCCCAGACCCCCCCAATAAAGCAAAACTGCACGTTTCAGAGTGGCCTTTTATTGTGGCCAGCCTAAGGCACACCTGTGCAATAATCATGCTGTCTAATCAGCATCTTGATATGCCACACCTGTGAGGTGGGATGGATTATCTCGGCAAAGGAGAAGTGCTCACTATCACAGATTTTTTCAGATTTGTGAACAATATGAGAGAAATGGTTATTTTGTGTATATAGAAAATGTTTTAGATCTTTGAGTTCATCTCATGAAAAATGGGAGCAAAAACAAAAGTGTTGCGTTTATATTTTTGTTCAGTGTAAGATGCATAGAAGCGAGGTCAAAGGGAATCATGAATAGTATGGTTTTCTCAGACTTCAGAAAACTCCTTTCAGAACAGGATACCATAAGTCTACAGGTTCTACAACTTTGGACAGTTGGTTAGACAAAAACATTGATAAGTAAATAATGCATCAACTCGCCTCATCAGTCAAATGTGTTTTGCTAATACTGTAAATCTTGCAATGGATTGCATCAGCACTGCGAGAATAAAAAGGGACTCAATTATACGTCATAGAAAAGGATTAAATGAACTAGGCTAATAAAATCCTAAAGGTTTCTTATTGTCAACTTACCTTATTGTTTGAAAGTATAATAGCACTTTCTAATGCTTTTTTGGTTGTAAAAGAGACAATAAGACGCGGGTGATTTTGTGATTAAATATATGCTGCAGTCTAATCAGTGCAAGAGAAGGAAGTTATGACAGAAACGTCACTTTTTTGCACGTTTTCATGTCAACTTGTTGTGCATTAAACAATATACAAACAGGACAAAAACAGTTCAATTGCATAACTTTGTTTCAACTGAATTTCACAGTGTTCATCAGCTAGAATGTGGACTTTGAGGATATAAGTGTCAAATGTTGAAATTGTACAAACCTGGCTGATACGATTGAATCCATATTGCTTGAAGTTCTCATCATAGAGGGGCACAGTGTGGGGCCCGATGTAGAAAGGCTCCCAGGGATCAACCCAGGTAAGCGTGTAGCCAACTTCCAGGGGTTCGGATCCTCTAACGTGGCTGTTGACCCACCGCGAGTAGTTGGTGGGGGCCTGACAGCGAGAACACAGCTCTTCATAAAAGGGCCGGACCTCACCGACCTGGTAGAGCTGAACCAACTCTGCCTTGTTTCCGGGCATCTTCCTTGCGTGGCGGATCTCAAAGGCAGGCAACACAAAAACCTCATCACTCGCTGTCTCACGCCCCAAGATCATGGCCTCAAACTGCTGGTGGAGGTCAGCGCTCGGCATCATGTCGATGTCAATGACGAGGATGTAGGAGGACTCTGTGCCACCTCGGGCTACGTTACGCAGGAGGTTGTTGGGGTAGGAGACGTTTCCACTGATGGCATAGTTCTTGTATTTATCCCTGTGCGTCTCCAGTCTGGAAAACACAGAGGCACAGTCTTCAAGCCCTGCAAAATGCTCACGGTCCTGCTCAGGGAAACTGGCCATCTCTCCTGAGAGGCACACCAAGTGGAAGTCCACCAGAGACTGAATCTGGGGGCAGAAGAAGCTGAGAGCATAAACCAGAGCTGTGGCAAACTTGACATCTTGCCCGTGTGCGAATATGGCCACAGAGAGAGGGTTGTGCCACCTTTCCACAAGAGATTCCAGGTGATGCAGGTTGTTGATGGTTGTGTGTGTGGCTAATGCCAGGACATGGGAACTGGGGATGGACCCTGGTTTATGATTTGTGGTGAAATCACTTTTTATCAAGTTCTTGTACACCCGATACTGACCACTGTTGTCAAAGATCCCTCCAGTAGACAGGGAGAACCTCAGACGTTCCTTCCGTGAGTTTTTCTCGGGGTGCCCATTCTTCTTGCCCTCAGAGCCTCCAAAAAGCTCAGAGTACCGGTACCGCTGCTGATTACCGTGAAACTTGGATAAGAAGGACAGGTAAAAGAGCTGCAGGAGCGCCACTATCAGCAGAGCACTCAGCACCACTTTGAAAACCGAGCATTTCTTGGACAGATGCATTCCAGAGAAACTGCAAACTGGACAACTAGTGTGCACAAAGCAGCTCCAAACACCGGAGCAAGCAGCTGTTTCCTTGAGCTATTTCTGTCCTAGCATTACCCACATTGCTATCACAATGCTAACAGTGCAACCTATCAGGGTGGAAATACAACAAATACTTGCACATTCTGCTGGTTACTGGCATAGCTGCTCCAGATATTCATGCAGCTCTCGATAGCACGAAAACAAAACGACGGATCTAATCCTCTCTGCGTGATCTTCGTGCAAAAATAATTGTTGCAACCATTCTGCTTTGATGCGACAGCGGCGCATGTAGATACGTAATAACCGTAATGTCGGGAGTAGAGGCGCAACATAATGTGATCTTTTAGCATAGTATAGCATATTGCTCGTTAGCTAGCTGTTTAGTGTTGGATGAAATAGGTAATGCCACTATTTCGTTAGTCTTTGTGAAAGCGTACTGTAACAAAAATGAATAAAGAATATGTTTTCCATGATTTGTATCGTCTATAAAATTGTCTGCGCATATATTCGTAGATCCACAGACGAGGTGGCCGAGTGGTTAAGGCGATGGACTGCTAATCCATTGTGCTCTGCACGCGTGGGTTCGAATCCCATCCTCGTCGATATCTATTTTCATTTTTGACTGTTATGTCATTTGCTCATATAGTCATTATGTTTGGCAAAATAATCACATGTGAGAGCATTGCTACACGGTTCTCTCTTTTATATGTATTTACTCTTGCACTATATCCTATTATCTTCATACATATACACACTGAGTATCATTATTTATCATATCTTATATTAAGTTTACACTGTTAACGTTGTTATTTTAGCGCCACTCACTTTACAATTGTCTCCTAACGTTCTATTCTCATTCAGTTTATGTATGTCATGTCTTTCTTTTTATTCTTTAAATTGTTTAACTTGATTGTGTTACTTACTGGTAAGCTTCTATACTTTTTTTAATGTATTTATTTCCTTGTACTGCATCAACAATTCAAATTCCCTGCTGGTTATCAATAAACGTCTATTTTAGCATAGATAGATAGATATGTCGAATAATATAATCTAGTGATGCACGATAATTATCGGTCCGATATTAGGAATTATGACGTCATCCCGATAAACCCGATAAAAGTATTAATAGCCCCGATAATATACAATATATTTTTTGGGTAAAAAAAAAGAAAAAATACTGCGGTGTGGGTGGATTGGGATGAGGGGCGCTTGTTTTTCACTCGGCTCCTCCCGTTTGCCAGTACTAGGTATTAGTGGTTTAGGAAGAGGGGAGTTTTTCACAAATCCAGCTATCAAATTAGGGAGCCTAACTCATGCCTGGTTGTGACGTAAAAGGTCTGCGGCCGTGAAGCCAGGACAGTAAACAAACATGTCGTCGGTAGTATGGGACTATTTCAAAGTTTCAGAGTTAGATAGTTCGCTTGCTATTTGTATTAACAAATGCAATGCAGAAGTTCCACGAGGAGGGGAAAAAGGCAACGAGCTATAATACTTCCAACCTGATTAGTCACCTGAAACATCGCCATCGCTACGATGGTGTGTTAAAAGAGTACGAAGACGCCTGCGCTGCTAAACTAGCGGCGAATCCAAAGCCAGCTGCACAGTAAAAACTGTTCTTGGCTTTGTTTTGTTCATAGTATTAATGCTCATGTCATTTGCTCACTACTAGTCTTTTTTTTACCACCAGGTGTGCAAAAACTACAGGTACATTTAATATATATATTATATTATTATCGGTATCGGTCTTGAGAAGCAGGAAGTTATCGGTATCGGTTTCAAAAAACCAATATCGTGCATCCCTAAATTACATTTATATTCGTCTTCAATATATTGAGGGACAAACATAGAGGTGATAGTAATTTTGTTTGATGTTCTTTTTGGAAAAACTTAATCTCCTACAAAACCAGGAATGTGAATTGTGTTCATTTTAATCCAGGTCGCAACAGTTACAGCTGTGATGTTAAATTGTAAACATCTGATTACTCTAAGGGCTTTGTGGCACACGGTAACAATGATGTAAGACAACACACAGAAAGAACATTTGAGAAACATTTTTTAATGACCATTAACAAAAACATTGTTGTCCTCACGACTACATGAACAGTGCTGACAAAAACATCAGGTCATTTTAGACAGAGTTCAGAAATGAATTCAACATAGCTCAAACATGTGCTATAGACCAGACTACAACTTTTGTTGTGTTTTTAATAATGAGGCTTTATCATCAAGGTTGTGGTGGTAGTACTGACTTATGGTCACATCATGATGTCCGCTTTATTAACCTCTGTACAAAAGCTGACCACACATTTATATGAATACAAACCAGCAGCCATTCTGTGCATGGAGACAATTTTACGAGTCATGAATTACAGAGGCTTAAAAAAGCTGACGTTCATTTTGATCTATAGTGACATGTTTACTGTATATTATCTTGTTCATGCTCATAACACATGTTGTCAAAATGTCTTCAAGGACCTGAACTGCCTTGGCAAGGGTCACTTCTTGCAAAGCTCAACCTAATTCAGGGCCCTATGAAATCAGATTTTTTTGTACGTTGTAAGTCAAAAGTCTTAAGTTAACAAACATTCACTTTTCATCTGTGCACTCCTGTCTTGCATTTTCTAAACATCTGATTTTTTTATTTCTTCTTTGAATTTTTTATTAGGCATCCTTGAAACTGTATATTAATAAGTGGATTACATTTTGCCGTACTCTGATAGTGAAGTATTTATTTGCTCATGCGTAAATGATAGTAAGACGAAAACAAGAACTTACAATTCAATTATTTAATTTAGGCCACAATATTCTAGAAAAAGAAAGTCAGCTTCACTGAAAGGCAGATTTAAGACAAACAACCTACATTTGTATAAGCACTAGCATTCACATGTGTGAGTCGGTGTCTGTTGCAAAGTACCTCAGTACCAAGTGCAGTATCTGAGCAGAAATGTAATCAAAATCAAGTGTGAGAAGATACATTTTAAATTGTGTGACTACAACCATATTTTAGGTACTGGAGAAATCATAAGGCCCTACGGTCGCTCTCAATAATAACAAACTACGACACTAAAACGCCAGCTCCGCTTTTAGACCCGCCGTCTTTGTTGTCACTGGAAGATGCCGCCGACTGGCCCTGTGCCTCCGCTTCACCTTCCCCCACCAACCGGATGTTGTAGCGTTCCCTGTACTCTGTGAGGTCCCGCCCTTTCGTCTGCATCTGCTTGTTGATGGACTCGATTAATTTGGAGATCTGTGGAGATAAAAGAAAAGGACACTTGGGATTAAATGCAGCAATTCGTCTGGTCTTCAACCTTCCTAAATTCTCCCACACCACGCCGCTCCCTCCACTGGCTTCCGGTAACTGCTAGAATCCACTTCAAGACACTGGTACTTGCGTACCATGCTGCGAATGGATCTGGCCCTTCCTACATCCAGGACATGGTTAAACCGTACACCCCAGCACGTGCACTCCGCTCTGCATCAACCAAACGGCTCACTGCACCCTCGCTGCGAAGGGGACCCAAGTTCCCATCAGCAAAAACACGTGGGTTTGCTATCCTGGATCCAAAATGGTGGAATGAGCTCCCCATTGACATCAGGACAGCAGATAGCTTACACACCTTCCGGCGCAGACTGAAAACTCATCTCTTTCGACTCCACTTCGAGCGATATAACTATTAACAAAGCACTTATATACTAATAAAGGGCTGGCTTATCTAAAGCCAGTTGAGTAGCACTTGAAATGTTTTTGCTCTATGAAGCCTGATGTACTTATATGATTCTGTTTTCTTCAAGGTTGTATTTTGTTGGTCGAACGCACTTATTGTAAGTCGCTTTGGATAAAAGCGTCAGCTAAATGCAATGTAATGTAAAAGCAATTTAAAATTCATATTCCAACAGTAATGCACTAATATTGTGTCGATAGGCTCGGTAATCCTTACAATACAATGAATCACCACAATGCGTAATAGTTGTTCTGTTTCCATGATTGCTAAAACAATTTGCTGGTGACATACACAGGGCAGAGTCCTGCACGGGTCTGATTTTCAAGACCCGCTCCCGCCCCGCACCCGCGACGTGCAATACCGAACCCCGCACATATTGCCAATTAGTTCCGCAACCCGACCGACCCGTCGGCACAAGATCCGCAACCCGCATATATATATGAGCAGTGAAAACTTGCAATTATTAACACACGCAGTTGCATATTTGTCTCAAAAAGCGTGGGATGTTGGTTATTTTCTCCATCTAGGATGACACCAAAAGCCTCCCAGACGTTGGATTTCGCTCTTGAGGAAGTGTTATTGAAAATGCTGTATTCTCCGCTAGAGAGCTTCACCTCAGCCATTTCGAATGTGATGCTCTCAGCAGCAGATTGATGGCTGCAGAGGTTATGATTATGCGCGGTCCCACGGGGGAGAGGTCTGAGGATTTAAACATTAAACTAAATTATTTTAATACATTTATTATGCAACACCCGCGACCCGACCATCTTTGTTTTACCCAGAACCGAACCCGGAAAAAATAGTTAAAAAAAATATCACCCGCGAATCACTTTTTTTGCGGGTCACCCGTCGGATACCCGACGCAGGACTCTAGACACAGGGTTCCTGCAGGTTTCACCAACTCAAATTTAAGACTTTTTAAGACCACTTTGAATAGAATTTAAGACCTATTTCACGGCAAGAAAGTATGAAGGAAAATTGCTAGGAAAGAAGAAATTCATCCCATAATGACTTACAAAGTAAATGTATTCATGTTCAGCATAACACTACACTGAACTGTGTTAGCGTGTTAGACAAAAAGTGTGTGTGTGTGTCAAGAGCTATAGTCAGAGCTCCGCTGTCTTCATGCTGTTGTATCATTGGTGTTTTAGCTACGGTATTTAGCGTCCACAGCACCTCCGCTTTTAGGGTTGACGTAGACTCAAACGTCGCCCGGAGGTCCCCCGGTGTTGTTGCGGGAGTAGCTGCACTAGCTAACGCTACATTAGGCTAAACAAACGATAATTTATTTTGCAAAAGGTGCGGTGGGCTTCAAACACATTCCCCTCCACTGGTTTCAACCAAGCACTAAATTCGATGTTTTCCAACCAAATACGGTTGAACTTACACTTCCCCATATTTATTTGTATGTAGATTCGAAGATACCTAATTTCTGACTGCCGCTAGCTGAAGCTTGGTTGCTAGGTTACTAGCTGGGTGTTCTCCGATAAGGGGCCGGGGGAAACAAAGTTAATGAGTTAAAGGTTTTGAATGATTACTGATTCCATGTTGATTTATTTCGATACAAATTGTTGGGGGGAACTGAAAGGCTCTTACTTTGCAGCCCGGACATTTCCCCCAACGCGATCGCAACACAGAAGTACCTTTCAAATCCGATCATTTTTAAGACCTAAATCATATTTAGGTCTTAAATTCTTTTTATATGTTTCTAGTTATTGTGCTTTTTATTATGTTTTTAATTCTCCCATTGTGTTATTTAATATTGTAGTTACTGCCTGTACAGCACTCTGGTCAACTGAAGGTTGTTTTAAATGTGCTATATAAATAAATAAAGATTGAGATAAAATAAAGATATTTAAGAACTTTCTTATTTTTTTGATCATATTTAAGACCTTTTTAAAGCCTTAAATTCTGATTATCAAATTTAAGACTTTTTAAGACCCCGCGGGAACCCTGTTACAATACAATGAATCACCAAAATGCGTAATAGTGGTTGTTCTGTTTCCATGATTGCTGAAACAATTTGCTGGTGACATAAAGATGAATGCATTACCTGTTCTTTGTTAGACTCCAAGGCTGGTAGAACTTCTTTTACCGTCCTCTCCACCAACACTCCTCCTACAAGACGAAAGCATTTCCTCGAAGGATCCACTTCCTTCAGGGTTTCAATTACTAAGCTGGATGGAGGGGGGAAAAAAATGTAGACAACAAGTGATGTTATAAACAAAGAATTACACCTCACAGATTCAATAAGCAGATGTGTGAGTATCCTCTACCAACCTGTGCTCATTGATATCCATCTCGAAATCTGCAGATTTAGAGGCCATACTGCGCTGCTCCTGACGCATCCTTTGAAATGTTGCCACCACCTGACACACAAAAAAACACCATCAGAAACAATACAGCCTCACACTGTCACGGTATTAATCTCAGTTTGAATCAGGTACTGCAGTGATAACACATTTCCTGTATTGACCATCAATCAAACAAGTCAAATGTTTAGCGAGTACATTTCTTTTGACTTTTACAACCTAAGGAAAACAGTTTTATTCTAGTCTATTTTAACCATTGTTTTTAGCTTGCACTTTTTATGTTAAGTCTCATTCTGCTTTTACTTCAGTGACCTTATATTTGTGTGCATAAGAAAAAATGTACTCAGGATATATTTACTTGTTATTAAAAGCCACAGTGCACACTTTCTTAATCTATACAGTACACTATTTCTATATGTTACTGTCCTTTCAGTAGATTGGTATATTAGAGAGTATTCAAATGTATTCGCTATATTTGTATAGTGTGTAGATAGGTTTTCAGTAATACAAATAGCTCCAGCCCTCACACTGACTTTCACTGAGAAACACTATTCAGCACAGCACACAATCCACTTATAAGTGTATGCTTATTCAAATGCAGTTAACGCATTGATACAAGCACATAAACTCTTTATAAATGTAGGCTCCTTATATGGCTTCACTCTGTTTTGTGTGATGAGAAGGCAGAATGCTGGCGATGGGGAAGCTAATGTTAGCATCGGCTAGCTGGGAGCCACGTTTTCGGCTTTAGCTCCACCGGATTGAACCACAGAAAGACTATCGCGGGTGTACCGACTGAAGCAGACCGGGCTGGAGGGGACGGTACCTGCTCGGCAGACGGGCCGGACGGCTTTCCTCCGGCGCTGCTGCCGCTGCTGGATTTGCTAACCGTGCTGCTACTGTTGGCTGCCATCTTGGAAGGGTGTTGCTGAGAAGGACCCCGAGCAGAATGTATAGGGATGCTTGTTGTGTGCCTGTGCGGAAATATATATGTTTTACTTTGAGTTTTGAGGGCATCTTGTATTATTAATGTTGCAACACTGCCATCTCCTCGAGATACAGTCGGTCATATTTTCTTAATCAGTATACTCTTTACCATTATCTGTTCCTGTTTGCACCAATGTCTTTTTCAGTTATGTCCATTAAAAGGCACAGTATTTTCCTCTGAAAGGTAGTGCAGTATGGAGAAACATTGGACTTAAAACAGATAGATCGCAATAAAAAAAATATATATAATCAAAACATCTTTAAATAAACGTCAGCTGTAAAAAGTAATAACAAAAATTGTGAAATTCATAATTGATCAATTATTCAAAGTTCAACATGTCAACTGACCAAGTGGAAAACTCTCTGGTGTCAAGATAAATATATTATCAATATTAAGATAAGTGCAGGATTCATGTTTCTACGTTATCTACGAATCGTTTGTTCATTTTGGAGATTTATTTTTTAATCCATTTTAAATTGGTTAAAGTACGCCCAAACCACCAACACTCTACCAACCACAAAGCCTTAAAAACATAACAAATACATGTTAATTGTTCAAGATAATCATCTCAATATGTATTGTTTTAAAAAATCTATTAAAATATAAAATGTAATCAATCCTCTACACCAGTGTTGTTACAAATGCAGTCCAGCAGCTGGAGCCAGTGTGCCTTCATGCTGGTTTCTATCCTTTCGAAATAAGGAAGAAGAAGAAGAAGAAGAAAGTAGCACTGCTAATCCTTCCTGCTGTACACTAACCACACTGGACGTATTAATGTGCTACTAACTTGGACTAAACAGGGGAGGTGAAGCTCTGTCAGCGTCACTGGGACCAATGTTCACGGCCAGGTGCATTTTGGGAACATCTGCAAAGTATTTGACCTCTCTCCCAGCTCAGAGACAACAGATCAAGCTCCAAAACAGGTGTTTATTATTCTGACTAGAGAATTTATTGTTATGCGTCTCTCTAAACAAGGTTAAATTATGATAAAGACTACATTCGTATTGTGTTATGTAAATATATGTGACCGGCAGAAAGAGCATCAATACATTTTATAGCTATTGATCCAGATATTGCATTTAAAGGTCCCACTATCCTAATAAGTACAATATGATAGGAGACACAATAACTAGTGCAGTTAATGATCAAACATAACATATTTGCCAGTCATGCTGCTTTTGTGCACATAATAACCACCTCTTCTCCCTGCAGGATGTCGACCTCACTTCGCTCGGTGGCTGCAGTGTGTCAGGTGACAGCCACCCCGGATAAACAGGCTAACTTCTCCGCCTGTAAACAGCTGGTGGAGGAGGCCAAGGGGCGAGGGGCCAGCATGGTCTTCCTGCCCGAGGCCTTCGATTACATCGGATCCAGCCGAGAGGAGACGCTGTCGCTGTCCGAGAGTCTGACAGGAGACACAATCTCACAATACTCTCAGCTGGCCAGGTACACACTGTTTTCTAATCATTGACATAGGTCCAATGTTTTGTCGTTGTTTGGGGCAGACATTTTTCTTCAGTCAGATATTTTTCAATAAGCTGCTGGCTGAGAGCAGGATACACTACTCTTACACATGTATAATCTTGCATAGATTTAAGCTCCTTCCAAGCAAATGAGGTACACAAAAAGGTGTTTTACTTCCTGATTCTTGCCTTACGAATCTACTGTTGGCTTCATGAATGAATAAAAAGATAGAAACTTTATGTCCTGTAGTATTTGGAGCTAGGGAAACGGTGAGGTTCAGTATGTTTATTTTAACATAGTGTAAATGTGTATTCTATAGCCTAGTAAATATGTTGGTTATGTGTATCCATCAGCAGGCACTTCAAGATTTGAAAAATAAGCACTTTTTCAGGATTTCTTTATGTATTTTTTAACCACTCCTTTTTCAGGAAGCTGGAAGTGTGGCTGTCTCTTGGAGGATTTCATGAACGAGGACATAACTGGGAGTCTGACAGACGAATCTACAACAGTCACATCATAATTAACGATAACGGTACTGTTCATCACTCTCTTTAAAATCCCACTCAGTTGCACACAGAAACATTAATTATTTTCCACTTGATGATTCCTTATGGTACACATTCTGACACGTTGTCATTGCACCCACAGGTGAAATCATTTCAGTCTACAGGAAGTCCCATTTATTTGACGTGGAGCTGCCAGAAAAAGGCGTTTCACTTAAAGAAAGTGCCTTCACCATCCCTGGACCCTCCCTCGTGTCTCCAGTCCAAACTCCCATCGGCAAGGTGTCCTTTATAACCCTCATTATAGAGTAGACTTGTAAACGCACAGGAAATCTTCATATTAGATGAGAGAAAACTACAAAAGTTAGGAAATATAAGTACATTTTGCCAGCTCTGTAATCTCAATATTAAACGCTAGCCAGAAAATATTTGAGATTGGAAAGAAAGTGTTTCCTATCTCTATTTAAACTTATTTAAATCAGCTTGTTCTTAGTCTTGGTTTTTAACTATTCTCTTTTTGTTTCCCCAGGTTGGCCTGGGCATCTGCTATGATCTGAGGTTCCCAGAGTTATCACTGGCTCTGCAAAGGCAAGGCGCTGATATTCTAACCTACCCATCAGCCTTCACTGTAGCCACAGGAGCAGCTCACTGGGAGGTGGGATGAGTCACAATACAACTATATGTGTTGGCTTACTAGTGCTTACAAAGACAGGATATCTATTAGATTGAAACCCAAGCAAAACACAAACTTGATGTCTTTTTATCTAGGTGTTACTGCGTGCACGGGCAATAGAGACTCAGTGTTTCGTCCTGGCGGCGGCGCAGGTCGGCCGGCACCATGAGAAGCGCTCGTCGTACGGCCACGCCCTCGCCGTGGACCCCTGGGGTGAGGTGCTGGGAGACTGTGGAGGGGAGAAGCCAGGCATGGTGCTGGTGGAGATCGACCTGGAGAAGGTCAGCAGCACCAGGAGGAACATGCCGGTCCAACAGCACCGCAGAAACACTGATTTTTATCAAAGTCTGGAGAAGAGTTGACTACAAGAGAAGAGCAAAAATCTAACTCTGAGTCACTGAAAGGACGAGGCTGACAGGAAATCAGTTTGAATACAGGAAACACACTAATCAGAAAAGTGTCTTTGGTTATATGTTTCAAAGACTTTCAGGTGGATAAGGAATAAGTGGATAAGGAATAAGTGGATAAGGAAACGTCATGAGCACTTTGATTTGAAGTGATTTTTCACGAGGATTAAACGAGAATGTTTTATGTTGTTTAATCAGATATAGCAGGTGGAGATATGTGTTCACTGTGTGAGGAGAGAAGCATATATTGTTCTCAAATCAAGCTTTTACTGATTAAATATCAACTAATGTAAGCATGAAAAAACATATCTTGATGAAATAAATATGTAAAGTTTATCGCAGCTTCTGACGCGGTTTAAAGAAATCAGCCATTTAGCTTAACATTGAAGTCATCTTGTCATTACTGCTGTAGTTTATCTAATTTCTATTTGTACTCAACCAAAATCAAAAAGCACAGATCAGACCTAATGAGTCTAAATGCTGTATAATGGTCAGTAGATGGCGCTGTTGGGCAGTAACACTATCAGAAAAAGGAGGACATGGCAGTAAAAAAGTGAAAGCTTCCTGAAATACACTGACCTGTGGTTCTAATGGATATTTACAAATCCACTTTCCTGGGTTTCAATGAAATACTGTCGTGCTTAAAGATTATTATAAACCCTTCGCTTGGTTTGTTTGTCTATTGTTTCTTCACTTTCTTTATTTTGTTTGATGGTAGCACATTATCAACATGTCCATAAAAAAAAAAAAAACATGTATCCATCCCGGAAGACTTGTTAAAGTGGCTCCTGGTTTTGCTGAGAACGACCAATTATCTTATAAATCTTATATAAAGTGTGAAAATCCACATTTTTTAAATTGTATTTAAACTTGTAACCAATCCTGTTTACATAAGAAAAATGCAATACTCTCTCCTTTAAAAAAATGCTTGAATCATTATGGATTAATATATTCACAGTCAAATTCCTTCATATTTAATAACAAAAAATGCCATAAAATAAATTATTGTAACTGCGCTTTCTAAGTATCCTTATTACGTCATTGTTCTTCAGATTCATTGAGTAGATAGTCTATGAAATATCACATTACTTTGTATTTCAGAGTTTTCTACAGTGTGGTATTGGCCCTTTTACACAAGTTAAATCTCTAAGTGCCTTCTCTGGCGATGCATAACTACACAACACCATTTGTCATTTGTATGTTCTGCCTCCACTGTGTATTATCCCGTTTGATTTGCACTGGATGAATTATTGATCCCATTCTCTCCTCCCTGCCTGTTCGAACATCACACAGACTGTGGGTGGTTTCTGCTGTAAGGCTGGGAAACAGGAAGTGAACGTCACTGACACAGGAATGGGACTGAAAAAAGAAAACACCATGATGATGAGGAGAATGTCAAATCCACTCGTGTAGCAAACACAAATCCCCGTTTCAACTGCAGGGAAAGAGGATGCATTGTGGAGCTGGAATTGAGGCAACAGGAAGGTAGGTGGCTGTCTGTGTTTATCAGCGGTAATGACGGTATGTTAATTTAAGGAAAGGAGGTCTGTGAGTGTGTTTCACCATCCGAGGCCATCCATCCATACTCATACCGCTGAGTATGGATGTTAGCTCGTTGTCTAGCTTGTGTGAATTATCTGCAAATTCGCTTAACGAATGTATTTTGTGCAGAAAATGACGCTTTCTGTGGTGTAAGGCCCTCGGCTGTTTGCTAAGTGACGCTGAAGTTTCACAATTCATCGACTGCATGAAAACCGTCCCATCTTCATGTGCTTTCCCCCGGTTATTTCACCATGAAATGCAGATGTTACGTTAATGCATGCACTGCTTTCGGCTGAGCATTTGCTGAAATCATCCACGCTTTTCCCTCAGTACAGCATGTAGCTGAATGTAGCTTGTAATTCAGTGTGAGCGCTTCTTTAGAGTGTGAAAAGTTGGGCTTGATAACAAACGCTGTAATTTAGAACCGTGAGTTCTAGTCGACTAAATGATTGGTCGATTATGAGGAATTTATTGCTAGTTAATTGTATTACACATCATTGTTAAAGTGTCAGAAAATGCTTCTGAAATATAGAGATTACGTTCTTTCTCTGTTATTTATAATATGTAATACAATATATTTGGATTTTGGACTTGCAAAACAGTTAAAGACATCACTTTGTTAGCGAGAAACTGAAATGCACATTTTTTTTAAATTAAATTACAATTTCTTGGTTAGTTAAATGTGAGAAAAAAAGGAAAAATGCTCAAATACATGTTCCAGAAGCCTACATCATGTCACATCAAGGCTTATTTAGTCTAATCAAAAGTCCAAACCTGAGAGATTTTCATCTCACAATGATATAAGGCTATGGCTATGGCTCAGTGGGTTAGTGCTCAGTGGGTTAGTGCTCAGTGGGTTAGTGCGCTGATCTTCGAATCAGAGGATAGCAAGTTCGAGTCCCACTGCAGTGTTGTTTCCCTGGGCAAGACACTTCACCCCAAATTGCTCCTGTGGGGATTGTCCATAGTACTGAATGTATGTAAGTCGCTTTGGATAAAAGTGTCTAACAAGTGACATGTAGTAATAATAATAATATAAAACAGCGAAAGGAAGGAAACACACATTTTAGGAGCTGGCATCGGCATAATTGTTTGAGTTTTTGCTTGTTGAATAACTTTTACAATGAACTAAAAACATGTATATTTAAGACTATTTGTAACCTCCTTCTGTGAAAAGATTATTTACATTACCGCTTGATATTCATTTTATTCCATTTCCCACAGCCCCATTCACTAACACATGTCGACAAGATATACTTCACACCAAAGTAGGGTAATGTTAAACATAACCCGGAGTTAATGTTTTCGCGCTGTTACTTCTTCGCTCCATCCCTTCTAAGGTATTCAATTTATGATTGACGGACCCTCCTCTCATTGTAGAGTCCTTCTCTTTCCAGCCAGCATCAAAGACTGATCAAACCAAAGGCACTGCTCCACCTTATTAAATCTGCTATGGCTGTTGGTTTAATCAGCGCTCCTGATTGTGTTACGTCTGTCTGGAGTGTTGCCGTCATGTTGGTTAAACATGACCGGCTTAGAGAGTTACATTCACAGAGTCCAGTTAAGTGTTTACCCCCCCCCCCCCCCTCCTAAACAGTTATCCTGTAGTTAATGACCTTTAAGTAGAAAGTCAGATTTCAGACTTTAGCAACTTCATTTGAATCTTATATTTAAAATATCAGACTTAAATTAACATCCTCATAACAACATTTATTTTTAAAAGTTCTCACAAAATGGTTAGTATCATGCAATTGAAGCACAATGAGATTCCTTAATGCACATCCGGTCATTTTTCACCCCTAAATTAGGTATGTTCACTAGTCTGTTAGATTTGAATCAGACTCCTTATTATTATTCTAGGATGCATCCACTGCTGTCTCCTAAGTGATATAATGTGCTCAGACTGGTGGAGGCTGGATCAAATTGATAGCTGAAAACGCCTCATTGATCACACACACACACACACACACACACACACACACACACACACACACACACACACACACACACACACACACACACACACACACACACACACACACACACACACACACACACACACACACAAACCAAGACACACACTCTAAAGGATTTCTTGAATGGCTGCATTTTGTTTTTATTTCGAAGCAGGCCAGAAAGAGCATGTATTATTCATCTTAAAGAATTCATTTTGTAAACGTTGGAACTTCCTTTATCTTCAATCCGGCCTGTCGAATCCTTTTTTTCACGAATTGTTTTTACCTTAAGACGTATAATTCAAAGGTATTTAATTTAAATTAGTTGCAGGTTAACATAATGCAAACTTAATGATTTGGAAAAATAAAAGATGATATGTTAATTATGATGTAAATCCACTTAAAGCTGTAAATACAACTTCAACATAATATTTGGTTTTTGTCCTGCGTAGTATTTTCTCTAATTGACCTCGGCAGTTAGCTAGTGCTGCATGTTAAGATAAGATACGATTAACTTTATTGATCCCAACTTGGGGGGACATTCTTTCGCCAGGACTATGTAAGAAAATAAATAATGTTAGAATGAAATAGAGCAAAAAATAAACACACAAACATCTCAAAATAGAAACTAAAACAGAACTAAAATATATTCATATTGACAGAGAAAAACGTATATCTGAAGACTATCTGTCAAATTTAAAATATGAAGAAATTAGAGCTAACAAACTTTAATTGTTTATTATTATTATTGAGGAGTCCATGCTGCGTGATGGATGTTTAGCTACACAGCGATCCATATATTGATCTCTGGCTGCCGTTTGAAGGATGTGTGTCAACTCATCGTCTGGGGGAGGTGTGAGCCGGTCGGTTAGATAGAGGGAGGGAAAACTGCTGAGTCACATCCCAGCAACAGTAGCCTGGGCAACACCTCCATAGTGACCAGCCGGAGGAAGATAACGGCCCTCGCTGCTCAACTAAATTGTGTAACATCGGCAGACCCTGCAGCATTTTGTTCCCTTGCTGTTGTTATCGACCTCCACACACACACACACACACACACACTCCCTCCGCCTTCTCTTTAGATGATCCACGTCCTCAAACGGCAACATGAAATCTGACACGTAGGATAGTAGCCCCCTCAGTAAGCAACACACTGTCGTCTCCCTGGCATGATTACTGTTTTGATCACTGTTACAAAAGAAGAGAGACATGAACAATGTTCTGCAAATGAAACGTATAAAAGACATGAGGCTCAGCTTGAGATGTTCAGTTCAGTCCCAACTGTCTGTTTTAAAAAGGTCATTTCAAGCTATTAACATGTGTTTTATGATCTCACTCTAATGTGTCCTGGTTAGCATTTTCATTCCTTTGGGATCAAACTAAACCACAAAGCTTATTTTCAATTAGAGATGCCCTGATTCCAATATAATTAAGAAATATAATTGACAGTATACAGATACATCTTTCTTTGTCAAATTAAATCGTTTGTTGCTAATAAAACATTGACTATTAAAGTTATAAGTTACAGATGCTTTACTCAACTTTGCTCTAACAAACCTCAAAATCAAAGTGCTCCAGGTTTAAATCAAATCCAATTGAAAATTAAATCCATGTTATCAACTTGATCTACTTTATCTCTTGTCCCAGGAGAAAAGGGTCAGTTTCTGTCCATCCCGCTGTGTGGGGCGTTCAAACATTATGCGTGTTGATATTTGCAAATAGCAGATATGAGACTCATTGTTTAGTTTCGATAAGAGGCCGACCGATCAATGCTTTGCTTGTTTCAATCCTTTGTTCTGGGCCAAATCAGGACGATTCTACAGTATAACGAGAAGTCAAAGAGCAACAGAAACCGCACCACATGAGCTAAATGATCTAAGCCTCGAGTTTGACTCAAGCTGAATTGAATTTCCTGAACACACTGATTCGATAAAGCTAAAATGGAAATCCCGTGTCATGGTGAGTGAGTGTTGGCGCAGGGGAGGTTTCTCTTCCCTCTTTACCTCACATTATACAGAGGATTAGTGGTCTTTAGTTTCACTGGTGCTTGCAGAATCCGTTTGTTCAGGATAGCTTGTGCCATTTTGTATTACTACTATTATAACAAAGTGTCTGGATTTAATTGTGATAAGAGAGACTAAAGGAAAGGGTTGGGCGCTAAATGCTCTGAACAGTCAAAGATTGAATTCACTTCTTGTTGAGATACAGTTGACCTTCTTTTGATTTGGCATTCACTTTCTGTTTTGTCATGGTTTTCACATTGTATCACATCTTCAACGTTTTCATTTTCTTCACGTTGTGATCATCATGTGACCTTTGCTGTATGTTTCAAAACACCACCGCATGAGAGAAGAATCAAAATGAAATAGAAAGTTGAAGCCATTCAGGTTGCTATGAAGGCAGCTTGGAAATCAATGAGGCCTTTTTTTAACAGGTATAGAGGAATATGGAGTCGTCTCTGGACTGTAAAAAGTAGTGGAAATCAGTCTATCCTGAACTCTCTTCTTCTCCTTTCCTTTATTACATAGTGACCCCTCATGCCTTGAGGCTAATATCCCTATGAATATATTCAGGTTATCTTCTCATTTTCACTCTCATCGCTCTGTTTAGTGAGGATCATTTTAGGTCACATCTGTCCCGTTTGTGCTCACATTTCGTGGTGTAGTTTCCCCCTCCTCCACTGGGGGGCGAGGTGACATGCTGTGTGTCTCTGCTGCTCTGCTCTCTCTAGGCCAGCAGTTGTGTTATCATCAGTGTTGTGCTAGTTACTGAAAACCAGTAACTAGTTACCATTACTAGTTACTTCATGTCAAAAGTAACTCAGTTACTTTACTAGTTACTTACACCCAAAAGTAATGCGTTACTGTGAAACGTTTTCGTTACTTGGAAAAAGGGCTCCCATTAATGCCCTTATAGCCTTCATTTCAGTACTGTTATTGCATTGGAGAATAATACAATCTGTTGATCAACTTGACATGCATTATATGCAATCTGGATTGCATCGATATTAGCTGGCTTTCCATTTTTGTATATTCTTTCTCCAGGTAGTTGGAAAAAGTTTTCCGTCCCATATGCCGTGTGCCGCCCGGACATGCTACCATGCTAACTAGCTCCCTGAAAGCGGGTGACTCCACTGTAGCAATAGCCTGCATGTGTTCTACAACATACCGTGCAATGGCTTTATCGACTTTTCCCTGGATAACAGTCCTTTGGTTAAAATCCAGCCGCTGTTGCTTAGGTGGAGGTGGAGTGGCGTCGGCTGAGTCTCTGTGGTCTTAGCTACTAGCTTCGTCCCAGCATGTTGTTTTTGCAGATGTTTTAAGAGATTTGAATTACTGGTTTGGGCAGTAGATAGGATCTTTGACCCGCCAAGACACAACATACATTTAACAGAAACGTTCTTTTCTTTGTGCTCGACAAAAGTGAAATAGTGAGAATATCTCCAGGTGGAGAAACTAGACTTGAGCTCCGCCGCCGCCATGATAGTCTTGTTAGTAAACAACACAAACACGCCCACAGCCCGTCTCCGCATGTGAAACAGGAAGTATCAAAGTACATTTACTCAAGTACTGTACTTAAGTACAGTTCTCATCTCTGTTCGCCTGGCTGTTGACTATATAATAAAACTAACGCAGTAACGGAGTAACGCACCATGTAGTAACGGTAACTGAGTTACTGAATTTAAAAAGTAATGCGTTAGAGTACTAGTTACTGCCAAAAATAACGGCGTTACAGTAACGCGTTACTGGAACGCGTTGGTTCCAACACTGGTTACCATACTGCAATCCTCCTCTTATTGTACAGTATAAATACACCACTTGGCAGAGAACAGAATATTTTTAAAATCACTGCCAAATATCAACAAGGAAATACTACAACAAAAAAAGCAAAACAACATTTATATATAGATAAACAAGAAGATTAGTCTTCTCCTTAGCTTTTGTAAAACCAAGTCAAATATGTATTTATGTTCAAATATATTAATTGTGGACTAGCCTAGACATATGTTTACATCTCTAGGTTACACAACTTTTAATTAATGTATTCCAACACTCACATTTTCTTTGTAATTATTACCTTAAAAATATGTTTGGGATTTTTTGTTGCATAAGGATATGGTGGTAATCTCATAGGTGAGATACATTTTTACGTCAGCTATAAGATTCCATTGAACCTCATCTCTGACAGCCTTCATCTTTATAAATGTCCTGTATCGCCTCCATCTCTTTCCGTCCACATCTCATTCCCTTTTTGTTTTACTTAATCTTCCATCACGGTGCGCTCCAGCAGTTACAGTGTTTCTGTCAGACTGTCTCGGATCCCTCAAGGTTATCTGCACCTTAGAAAATGTAGAAAAGTCATTCATATGTTTCACTGAAAGATGGAAGAAGGTCTAAATTGTCTGTGAAGTTTATGGAGCCGTTTGTGACTTTGCGGGCACATCTCATGTATGTTTTGGTTTCCTAGAAAAGACACCTGTTTCCTCATCTTCCTAATACATCCACAGAAATGTGATGTTTCACATAATTCAACAAGGTGATTCTCCGTTTACTTGGAACAAGCTCTAGATACCGGCTGTGTTTGTTTAAGCTATAAAGTGGATTTCTTCTTCACTAAATGTGTGTATGACTATAACCTCTCCATCACAGCATCCCCGAGTGTCCATCTGTGATTCTGTCTGCACGTTAACAACCCGCCCTTCTCATCTGTGACCGTCCCACTCCACCTTGTAGACTCAATAATCTCGCATCATCACAACACGGTGTATCTCCTCCTCCCCCTCCCTCCCTCCCTCCTTATAACCCAGGGCACCGGCGCGTTGCTAAATGGAGTCGGAGCAGCTGTACCACAGAGGCTACTGCAGGAACAGCTACAACAGCATCGCCAGCGCCAGCAGCGACGAGGAGCTGCTGGATGGAGCCGGCGCCGTCATGGACTTCCACACCACCGAGGACGACAACCTGCTGGATGGGGACGCGGCCTCCCCAGGTAGGGAGAACGGAAATGCCTCCCCTCTCTTGATTCCCCTCCATGACCCAGTCTTTGACGAACCCTCACCATCCAATCAGATTCTTGAATTCTTTGCGCTGCGTCTTCGAGTCTAGAATCAAGTTATTATTTATTTTTTTCTCCTGAGTAAGCACACAGGTCGCTGCTTTTGTCATGAGTTAGCCCACTGCTCGTGTCGAGACGCATCAAGTGTGTGTTCGCTCGTGTGTTGCTGGCGCACTCGCTCTACCATCAGCCCCCCCCCCCCCCCATCTCCATGATCCACACCTATCAGCTGCTCCACATCTCGTCTTGCTTCACCCACCTTCCACCGCCATTATCCTCCCATTGGGCCTGAAGCAGCCTCACAAATGGTAATAAAACTATTCATTGATATGCAAATAGTTATAGACAGCCGAAGCAACTTCTTTGTAATCTAACAACTAACTTATTTAGACATTTCAAGCAAATCTCATAGTCTTCATGAGCACTTTTTGCGGTTTTGTTCTCAATAACTTCTAAGATTTAGTGTCCATCCCAAAAGTAATACAAAAATTAAATGGAGGAGCGACGAATTACAAATGCTAAATGAAAGCATTTGTTTTCCCATTAAGAAAAACCTGATTATTAAGTAGATTATTTCACAATTTCTTAAGGCCCTCACTAACTTTTTTTATTGGATATACAAATCATTTTGCATATTACTTTACCAGCTAAACATAAATTCATGAATTCCTTTATAACCATCTGTAAGGCTCTCGAAGGACTGCAGTTGTTCTTATTATTTCAAGTCGTTTTCTGTCTTGTCTTGATGTAGTTTTGTCCCGAACTACATAACTCTAACTGTTTTTGTACCAAACTTGACTTTACATGGTTTTTATTATGAGTTTGCATCCTTTTAATTGTCCTTTGTCCACTATCTTGACCTTGCCACCTTTTTTTAATATCCTTTCTTCCCTGCTGTTTGTTTTGTGGTCTTGCTGCCACTTTTTGTGTGCTTTGGCCTCGCTCGTTATTCCTACCTTGCTTTTGACTTGTTGCTTACGTGGATTGGTCTTTCCTGTCGGTGGTAAAGGTGTGTGTGAGTAATAACACATTACGTGGCAGGCCCCTATTTGCTTTTTGTGTTCATAAATACGTCATCTCCTGGCTAGATGTAGAAAAGGTAAAGCAAGGTGAACAAGTTTGACAGGTGTGAATTTAGCTTGTTTAAAAAGTAGGTATACTTCTTCTTTTGTTTGCAAGTTTCCAGCAGAGTAGATACAAAGTGCAACTGTATGAGAAATATGCCGGCAATTCCTAACCTTGGAGGCATACAATTCCAAGGTATTAAACTATTTATGAACCGGTTCTCCACTCGCTAAACAAGAGATCTGCTACTGCCTGTGTGGCTGCCAATGCTAAACGATTGGTCAGGTCATACCTGTCATTCCTGTGCAACCACTCATTCATTCAGAAGCTCAGCTGCACTCTGACCGGTATCTATAGGCGCTTTCACACCGGAGTACTTTTCCCGTTTAGTTCCGATAGTTCCTGGGATTTTACGTTCTCACCAAAAAGAGAACTTAGTTCATGAGAACTTTTACCCCCTTTTTAGTGCCTGCTAGAGAGGTGGTTTCTGGGGAGAAAAAACTTCCAATTTCTGATTGGCTGGCCGAATTGCAAACCACGCCCCGTCAAACTGGGAAAAGTTTTTTAAAGCCGCCATTGTATTTGCTGGCAACACAAAAAAAAACATGGGAGCGGTGGAGATGAGGAGGTGTCGGCGTTCTGGCGATTTACTCTGAAGGCTTCAGTAGAAGCTGCTGGGAGTCCCAGCAGCTTCTACTGAAGCCAGTCCCCAACTCCGGGGACTTCCGGCCGAGAACTTCGGGTGGCAGTAGACGCCGTGAAGTGGTTTGCGGCCTGCCAGTAAACCCAAAGCAGAAGAAGTGACGTCAGCGGCTTCATTTGCGTAATATTCCCTCAGGGAACTTATTCCGGTGTGAACGCGATCTGCTCTTAGTTCCATGGGTTGTACTAAGTGCTGGGAACTAAGTACGGCAGAGTACTTGGTGTGAAAGCGGCTATTATCTTGTGACCAATCGACATCCGATCTGCTGCATCCTGTTTTCTCTTCCTCGTCTGACTAAATATGCTGATTCCATCTCTGTAGTTTTGACTTGCAGCTGATCAAACCAGCGCACATGCTGAGTGGGTTGTGTCAGATCTTGTCTGCTGAGTTTGGCTCTCCAAAAGCGAACACATTTGCGAATTTGCTGGTTGGATTTTGTGGGAAATCCTTGTGCTCTATGAACACAAAAGAATGATAGCAAATGTGTTTATGCATGAGATAAAGGTCCTAGGTTCTGATAAAACTTTATAATCTGTCTTTTTGAATTGAATATTTTAGATTAACTGCATTCATTTGGGTCAGTTTAAAGACACAACGATAAAGACAAAATCCCACACATGTTTGGTAGGTTGTGGTGATACTGAATGAGACGTGTTGCTTGCAGAGAACAGATGTTTCCCATGCCACATATTTGACTATCTGCCATCTCCCTTTTTTGTCTGGTTACAGCTCTTCCTTTCAGTTCTGCACTGATAAGGTTGTAGTAAGACATGCTCTGTTGTAGATCTCCATTTCAAGTCATGTTGTACTGTTGCACAAGAAAGTTACAGTTCTGTTAAAGTGAATATCTAATGCTCAGAAGCTTAAAACATGATCATTCTTCTCCATGTAAAAGCTCAACATTCAGTTGGAAAGTCGCTATAAACCTCAAAGAAAGGCACATAAAACCATCTATAGGGACACTGTTTCCAAGTATTGACATTTCTTGTTACTTGCAGATTATCTTTTTGGAATAGCTCCTTAATAATTCAGATTTTTTTTATTTTGTATCCTATCAATGTACTTACAGAGGTAGTAGGGGTTGTTTTTATGTACTTTATGGGGATTGGCTTTCATCTAGTGTCCCCATGTCTCTTCCTGGTGATTAGCTTCTCATTCTTCTGCTCTGAAACTGGACCTCTGGGCAGTGGATTATGTGGAAGGTGAAAGCATGGGGTAACCCTAACCTGCCTCCATTTATACTGTCACTGCTGCTGCTAGTGCAGAGTGAGCTTCAGTGCAACAACACAGCTTTCTTTCAATAACTGCAGAAGCTACAATCTTAATGGCCAGGTTGTACCGAAGACTAACAATCATTAACTTCCAGTCTTGTTTTTACATTCTTTGCACCACACTACTGTATTTGCCTTGACTCCACCCCCCCTCGCGTCAGAGCTGTGTGACTCCCATACGCTCACCGACATTCCCATGAAGCAGTTTGGCTGCCAGCCGGTCCGAGCTAGTGTTTCAAGAAATCTCTGGATGAATGCTCTTCCTTGAAGCTGCTGTGCCTCCCTGAGCTATTTATATGTAGTATTGAAGGGACGGGTGCCTTGGTTAGCTTTGTAAAACCCCCGGGGGCCGTCTCACTCTGAGGTCCTGACACTTTTTGTTCTCTTTGAAGAATTGAGGAGATACATGGAGCCATGCTTTGGGGGATGTGTGTAACTGAACTGAAACAGATTTATCTGGTTTTCTTTTCACTGGATTACTGAGATTTCTGTTTTCAAACTTCATGATTTTTCTAATTTGACATCCTGACTGGGACTTCTTGTTGAGCAGCGAGGTGACATATTATGGTTGACACCACCTTTGTAATCGCCTAGCAACAGGAGCCCTACTTAAAGGTAAGGCAGCGTGGAGGTCTAACCAATCACAGGCTGTTTGTGGTTTTATATCATAATGGAAACAAAGTCACAGTGTGTGAAATGCCAGGGTCCCATTGGTGAGGCCTGGGAATTGTTAAAACTGATTTAAGCTGCATTGTTTCATATAATCACATCGAGTTTACAAAACGCCTTCTGTGTTGAAATAGTGACCGTGAGATCGCTTTTTGATTGTACGAATGTTTCATATCCTTCCTGTAGCGTGAACACAGGAGAGGAAGGTTAAGCAACAGTGTCTTAAGATCAACTTTTCTTTTTTCTTGCCGCAGTCACACTTACAGTTTCCTTAACATCCGTTTCCTCTTTGCATACCAAAGCAAAGCAGCAGTCAAAAACAACCTAAAATTACAAGGCAGAATGGCAAAAACACAGATTGACTTAAATGTATTTATTTCTCTTTGCACTCACAAAGCATTCTTTCATTAAAGCTATGAATAGGCCATGTGATTATTTTGTATTGGCATAATACGTTTATTACATTAATGAGTTAGGGCTGTAACTACAGATGACCCATTCCACATTTTTTTTATATAAATAGTATTTATAAGCTGGCCTACAGTGGAGCACATCAACGCATCCCTTAATATAACTTATTTTCTGTCATTCAATCATTTAATCTACAACATGTCAGACAATTTTGAAAAATAAGTGTTTTTGTGGTCCTTCTGATACTTAAACATATTCAGTTTTATGTCATGAGACAAAGAATTCACATTTTTGTGAATGGAGCCAACTCAATTTGAACTTTTTTGCTTAGGCTTTGAAAGCGGACTAGTGAGTAGCTGAGTTGCTGTGTTTGGCATGATGCCGCTTAATATCCCCAATAACCTCTGTCGTCTAATTTAGCCAATTGTTAGCAACTACCTGCTTTTAAGAGATTGAAAAGTTTAAAATGTACAATTGGAGGGGATACTGTCAGGGTTATATAGTGGAACGAAATGTGAGAATCTCAAAATAAAGATTAATTCTGGCATCTAACACAAAAAACCCATTACAATTATTAATTGACGGAAATGCTAACCCTTTTCCTGGTTTTAGGACTCGTTCCTGTAGCACTCTATTACTCCTTACTTAAAGGTCCCATGTCATGGCCATTTCTACGGATCATAATTCCACTGTTGAGGTCTACTAGAATAGATTTATATTGTGCAATTTTCCAAAATCACATTGGTTTCTCATACAGCATCTCTGCAAAGTATGTGTATTCACCAGGTATTCACTCTCTGTCCTAAACGGCTTGT